ACAACCCCAAAATTCACACCCTACACACATACACACACACACACACACACACATACACTCACACATTCACATTTACATATAGATACATGAAAAAGCAGAACATGAGAAAAAAGCATTTTAAAAGTTTACTCCAATGTAAACAAATATTTTTAATTGTCTATCACTTGAATCTTTATTTGAATCAGTATTTTTGAGACCAGAAATGTTCATTTGAATTCTATATTGTCATGGACTTAATTGACCTCTGTCCTGACACTTTTGATTTGTTGATTTTGTACTGTGTGAAGTAATTACATTGATTAGAATTAGATCTGATAAAAACACAAATTAGAGAAGTAAACTGAATCATTGCGCTTGCTTTTGTCTGAGGGACATTAGCAACAGCATGAATAGAAATTGTGTTTAAGTAGAATCAAAGTGACTTAACCATAGAGAGTAACTACTGCATAACAAGCTGTGTACAGGAACTGAGACACTGCACCATTGACCAGAAGTGCATCGCAAATGACCTGATGTGCTTCAAGTGAAAAGACTGTATCTGGAGATCCTGATGTGCATCTGGAGAGACCAGAACCATGGCTTGGACCCTACTGATGTCCAAGATGACATCTCTCGAAATATGACCTGACCTGATGACGACTGAGACTCACCCTCAGGGGACCCTGAGGACCTGAGGACCTGAGGACCTGAGAAAAACTGGGGAGTGATGTTTATATTATTGAAATCATGCCATTGATGAGTGCTAAATGAGAGAGATACTCATGATTCTTTCTTTTGTTTTTGTTTGTCCCTAGCTTCTGGACATCTGATGATCTATTGGACACAGCCATTTGCAGAACAAGAACCAGCCAATGAAAAACGTCTATTGCCGATGCTCTTGCTACAACCAGAACCACAACTGTGAACAAATGCAATATACATGTTAAGTATTCAGACATCTGACAGACAAAAACTTTGACTTTTTAGTCTGGGAGACTGAGCAACTGTTAAAATGTTTGAAAATGATAAAGTATGAGTATTGTAGCGTTTTAGTAGATGTTAAATAGTAGTAAAAAATAGAATAGAATTGTCCTTCCTTTGTTTTTCATAAACACATTTCCACGTAAGAGTTAAAATAGTACCCTACAATGTTATCCTTCTGATAGATCAGCTAAAATATTAGAATCAGAATTATTTTACAGCCATTAAAAGTGACAGAAGTCACAAATTAGAAATATGCCTTGACTCAAGCTGCAACCGAGCTTTGGAGTCACAATAGTGTAGAAATAGAATTAGATAAAAGCATCAACCATAGATAGATGCTTTCAAAAATAGAGATTATTTGTAGCCAGTGCTAATATCAAATGGTAAAGGGACCATTTCACAAACCTTTACTTCAGAAGTAGATAAAGTTCATTACAGTTTTATGTACAGTTTTATTAGATACTTGCCAAATTCACTTGTGTTTACACATGAGTGAATGTTGACAATGCAAAAAGTTAATGAGTGTAGCCTAGATTAATGCCTAGATTAATGAGATAGATTACATTCAAAAGCATTTTGATGCATTTGGGTATGGCCCAAAAACAAAATAGTAGATATTTAGATATTGAGAAGTTTCCAGCACAAACACCATTGTAGAATAACTGACCCCAAACCTGCTAAAATAGATTAGCTCTTGTAAGGATAATATAATTTGATTAAAGATGTACATTCATCCCAAACTGCCTGAGAGGAGGAAGTGACAGCACTTCCTGGTTCAACAAATGTATTTGGAAAACTGACCGCCATAATAATGTTCATATTAACCATTTGTCTTACTGTGTTCACAGTTTTATTCCTGAGAATGTAGAATAGACATAGAGCAAAATCCCACTGATAATAAGCCACTGATAATGAGATTAAACCACAGAGAGATTTATAAGATTAAAATGTATGTTTAAGAATATGGCTCAATAAAAGCAAATATGCACACCTATTTGTAAATAGATTAGAATAGTTTTAAACTATAGTGAATCATAAAAGTAAAGTACACAGTCTAAGATTAGAATTAGTGATAATAATACAGTGAAATAAGATTGAGTGTAGTGTAAACAATTAGCATTAGAATAAAAGTATAGAGTAAGAAAAGTGAAATTAGCTTCTAATTGAGACTCAGCTCGTTTTTGTCTGTGTTTTGACTGAATCTGCTGAGTTCTTGTGTGTCCAATAGTGTTTTTGTTTGTTTTTATTTTTGATTTGTTTTTTGTTTATTTATTTACTTTATTTTTGTTTGTTTTTTACCCAGGATAGAGGATAAAATCCACTGATATTGATTTGATGATTATGAGTTTAATGCATACATTTTCTTTGTTTTAAATAATTTTTTAAAGTTTTTTTTGGAATTTTTTTTTTTTTTTTTTTTCCACTTTATTGATTGATCAATTTGAGTGATCACATGTGATTATGTGATCAAAGGGGAGGGTGTTAGTATTAGATAGCAATATGGCCTACGTGCAGGACTCTACAAGGACTCTACAAGGACTCCATGTTATGACTATGATGTGACTGTCTCTTTGTGACATGTATGTCTTTCCATGTGTGACGTGACAATGACTATATAAACTGTGTACTGCCTTTATTCTGTCTGAGAGAAAGAAACAAAGTAAACCATTGGAACTTGAGAGAAACCTAAATAAACTTCCAGAGTTTGATGATTGATGTAGAAGGGAGCAGGTCTAACGACCCTGCTGAGGCTAACGACCCTAACTCATTAGCATGTCACTGACCTTGTCCCAAGTTAGGGCCTTGTTTTTAGGATGTCGTCATAGATGCGAGGCAAAACAAATCTTAACCCTCCTCCTCTGTTAAGAGAAGGTTTTTGTTTCCTCACAAAAATGGCTTCTTTCACCCCTCTCTCAAACCAATTCTTCTCCCGAGCCAGAATTTTAACCTCTGTGTCATCCACCGTGTGGTTGGAGGCCTTGAGGTGGAGATGAACAGCCGACTGTGGCCCACTAGAGTTTTCTCTACGATGTTGGTAAAGTCGTTTCTGTAGAGTTTGTTTGGTTTCTCCAATATAGTGGTCAGTGCACTCCTCTTCACTACATTTAATTGAATACACCACATTGCTCTGTTTGTGTCTGGGTGTTTTGTCTTTGGGATGCACTAATGTCTGTCTTAACGTGTTGAAAGGTTTGAAATACACAGGGATTTTGTGTTGCCTAAAGATTCTTTGTAGTTTCTCTGAAACTCCCGCCACATACGGTAAGGACACCCCTCTCCTCCTACTTTCTTCTGTCTGTTGGACTGTGTCTCTGGCCTTTCTCGTCCTTTGGGCTTTAGTAAAAGACCACTTGGGGTAGCCACATCTGGAAAGTGCTCTCTGAACATGTTTGGTTTCTCTGTTCTTTCCCTCCGAGCTTGTGGGGACCTGGTGGGCTCGGTGTTGAAGCGTTCTAATGACCCCGAGTTTGTGTTGTAGCGGATGATTTGAATCAAAAGCCAAGTACTGGTCAGTGTGAGTGGACTTTCTGAAGACCTCAGTCTCCAATTGTCCGTTCTCCAGTATGATGACCTTACAATCTAGAAAGGCGAGTTCACTCTCCTTAGCATTCTCACGAGTGAAATGTATAAAAGGGTCCACCGAATGAATGTGTTCTGAAAATGGTTCCACTTCCTGTTTCTTTAACTTAACCCATGTATCGTCTACATATCAAACCAATGGCTTGGCGCTGTCCCTTGGTAAGAGACCAGGGCTTGTTCCTCCAGTTTCTCCATATACAGATTGGCCACTATCGGAGAGACTGGGGAGCCCATCGCACAGCCATGAATCTGTCTAAAGAAGGTGCCTCTAAATTGGAAAAACGTGGTGTTAAGACACATTTCAAGTATTTCACAGATGTGGTCAGCTGTTAGTTTCGTTCTCTCCCCTAGTGCGGCGTCTTTCTGTAGGCTTTCTCTTACAGCCTCCACCGCCTCTGTAATAGGGACCGACGTAAAAAGTGATGTCACATCAAACGAGACCATTGTCTCATCTGTGTCAAACTGGAGGTGTTTGATTTTATTTACTAATTCTTTTGTGTTTTCTATGTGATGGTGGGTGTTACCCACCAAAGGAGCCAGAATGGTTTTGAGGTGTTTAGCCAGGTTGTAGGTGATATTGTATGTAGCATAGACTCTAGGCCAGACCTGGGCAAAATAAGGCCCGGGGGCCGGGTCCGGCCCGCCAAGCTATTTTATCCGGCCCGCCACTCATTTTCAATATAAGAAAAATAATTGCCCACCCCTACTCTAGAACCTTTCCTGAGTTCACTTCCTGTTCTGAGGGACAATCCCTGCAAAACAGGGGCCCTCGTGACCTTTTACGGCCCTGTTCATCTGTAAAAAATAGAACGTTTACTCCCAGATCCAATCTTAAAAGTTAAGGACATTTCCATTGTCAATTCTTCTCTCCTCTGGAGTCATACGTATTGCCATACAGTCCCATCTATATCGCAGTAGCCCAATGAAACTCACATTGTTCACATCCCCAACAAGCCTCATGTTTGGTGCTCTTATTCTTGAGGTACCGCTGTGGGTCTTCTGTATGCCTGCAGTCTTTCTTTGTATCCTGGTGCAGAAGACTGTCCCCGGTCCGGCCTGTCAACAGTCTGAGTGAAATGCCACATTCTCCACGGGATCCTCTGGTGGTTTGATGACACGGACTCTGAGACCTCTGGACGCCATATCTTTGATTGCTTCTGCTGCTGAATTATAGAGTCACGTCTCTCCTTCGTAAAAGACGCAGAACTTGGCAGGGAATGGAGTTTGAAACTTATTCTCTCTCAAAACATTTTTTTGCTTCTGCATATTCCTTTCTCTTTATCATAACTTCCGGTGCATAATCGTGATCCACATATACCCGCTGTCCTTCAAAGTGAAATCCTTTCTTCTCCCACGCTTGCTTGATAACATCCTCTTTGCATTTAAAACAACAATTGATCTCGGTGGCGCTTCATCTGGGGGGCGGGGGCCGAGCGCCCGGTGAGCTCTCTCAATGCTTAGCCTGTAGCTGGTAGCTCATGCTTTTCCCTCTGCAGAGTTTCAACAAATGCACACATGGCTCCACTCTCTGCGCCCTCTTTGATACCATGCAGACGAGTATTGTCTCTTCTTGCTCTACCTTCTTGATCAATCAGCTTCTCTTCTAACTTTCTTTGCAGTTTTATAAGCTCACATGTTGCTTCTTCCACGCACTGTACTCGCTCCTCCGTCTCCCCAATCCGTTTCTCCGCTTCATCGATCCTGCCGTTCGTCAGCTTAAGGTCTTCTCTGATGCCGTTTATACCATCCGTCGTCTCCCGTCGAAACTCTCTAATCTCTTTAAGGACCGTCTCCAAATCTGCCATTGCCCCGAGTGTTTGCGCTGTTTCGGGTATTAGCTCCTCAGCTAATGCTACGTCCGTATCCTCTGGCTCTGTATGGGTTAGCTCCATTGTTAGCTTAGCTTTTTTGTCACTCGCTGCACCCCGTCTTTTTGAGCCTCCAGTCTGTCTTTGGGCTTTACTTCCAAACATAATCCAAGCCCCTCTATCTTTACTTAAATCATCCACTTTTACCTCCGGCTTGTGGCGTGTAGGGCTTATTTCCAACTTAAATCAGGGAGCTGTCTATTCACGCAGTCACCATGACTGCGTGAATAGACCCGGACCCCCCATGTATTTTCAATGTAAACCCGACGCTTTGGACGCCCAAAACGCGTTTGGTCTGAACGCAGCGTAACACTTGTCCAATGTTATCCACATTAAATAAATAAATATGATAATAACTGAAGTGGCTCTTACTCAAATGTTTGGACACCCCTGACAGATCTGAGTGATGTGTGACTGAATGTTCTCTACATTAGTAAACAGCTCACATTATTTTAACTGTGTGTGAAGCAAACATGTTTTCATCTTTCAGGAGACTCAGGACGACAGATGGAAAATAGCCACTTGTCTAATTCTGGCATATTTACAGAAATGTTCATTAATATGCACTGTTCCTGTAGTAAATACATGAATAATTGGTCAAAGACTGTCCATGAAACATGGATAAATGTATTTATCTGTTTATTTGACAAGGACGTTGCACAATCAGTGGCTCTGGCTCCGCTCTGATCAGAGGTTCCACCACAGACTGCAGCAGGAGTGTGACATCACAATAGTGTTTGCAGAATGTGATTAAAACATAAACTGGAGCATATTTCATTTTTATGGACATTTGTTCTGGCGGCGTTAGCTTCACATTGGCCCGACGTGTTGCTAAGGATAGCTGGAGTTTTCCACAAATGAAGGCCTCTGATTGGTCAGGATTTTCAAAGAGAATGTGAGGATATAAACAGCAGGATCACAGAGATAAACCACAGATGTTTCAACATAAGAACCAGATCTAACATTACCATGACATGAAACAAAAACATCTGAACAATAGTTTTATTTCCTTTTGATACAATCTATTTCAAACCTGTTTATCTGGAAACAGGTGCAGTTCAGGGCAGTGGCCACACGAGGGCGTCTGTGGCATACATCTCTACCTTTTTATTCAAATCTTTTCTTCAGTTTTATTTTGATTCCAGGTCCTTGAAGCAAAGTGAAAACACAGAAAACACAAAAACATAGTAACGTCATGTTGTCTTTGACTTTTTGAATCCAGAGTTATTTGCAAAATTTTGTATGCAAAATTTTGTATTGTTTTTACTGTATGTACTGTACAGTAAACATTTGTATTATGTGTTTTTACCCAGCATGGTATTGTTTCCGTCTTATTGATTGTCCTGTGAGTCTGGGTGAGGGGGGTTGGATTAATATAAGCATTTTGCTTCCTCCAACCCCTTTTCAATCCCTGTACGTGTTTTTGCTTTTGTTTTGTTTTCTGTAAAATTATGTGTGCAGGTTTTGAAATAAATATTTCATTCATTCATTCATTAAAATTTCAAATATTTTGAGAAAACTAAATTTTATTAGGCCCATGCAAAACTTTGACATGGTCTGTAGGGGGCGCTCATGAGCCAATTTCAATTTTTCCACTTTCAAATGACCTAGACCCTGGAGCTGAACAATGGATAAAAATTTGGTGCAAATCCGGTTTGGTTTGTGCAAACGGGAGCCAATTTACTTTTGTCAAAAATCCCCAAAAAAACGTCACATTTTGCCGCTCTGCTGCTTGGACAAAGTTTAACTGATCCAAATTCTATATTCAATAATGGATGGGACATGTGTTTAGACCCTGTGGAGCGATTTGAGACAAATCGGTGAAGCGGCCGAGGAGGAGATAATTTCCAGCCGACATGTGTGAAAAATATCAATTTTCATTTTTCCATTTCCCATTTAAATTAATGAGCTCCCTGTTTGTCAGGGGGCGGAGCCATAATAACTTTTTTTCATGTCTTGACTTGAGGAACATGTGTACCGAGTTTTGTAGCTCTACGACAAACTTGACCTCCGACCCCCTCCCATAGGCGCAATGTAAACTGACTTTTGTAGGGGGCGCTGTTCTGTCATTTTTTAAGTCCCATAAAAATAAACACCAAAACAATAAATTTTTTGCTGGTTCTGAATTTTGGGCAAAATTTCACAACTTTTCATCAATGTTCAGGGGGTCAAATTAAGGTTCAAAGCGCAGAAGAAAAAAGAAAAAGAAACCAAACCAAGGAATTTTTTTTTTGGAAACTTTGAGCAAAAACAATATAGGTTTCCATAGTAACCTATAATACAAATGATACGTCGTTTTAAAGCGAACGACGAGGCGAACGCAACTATTGGGTTCTCGGTGATTGACGAGTGCTGATGCGCTCGTCAATCACCTTGCCATCATGAGGTCACCCACCCCCCCCATAGGACCCCATTCATTACACTGTGTACTACAGCAGGAGCAAAGCCATTCAGTGCCTCCGGCACGGATTTATCAGTGTCTGGGCACGTGCCGTCGCGTGCAGGTCACAAGCTTCGCCCAGGCATTACTCGTTGGAAAAGCAATAGGCCCTTACCCCGGTTGGGGCTCGGGCCTAATTAAAGCCGCAAGCGGCATCTAACGGCCCTCGCCGCACCGCGCAAAGGAGGTGGCGCTGATGCGCCATTTTCCCACTGCCCTGACGGGAGCGACACTGTGCATTTTGAATTCCTATGATCAGTAATTGTGAGTCTCTATTGAAAAGGTAAACCCCAGTCTCTCCATGTAACACTTGTATCACTCTGTAGGGGGCACTATTGCTGCAATTAAGTCTTTTACACTTTCAGTTTACCCAAACCCGAGAGTTGAACAATCAATTCAAATTTTGTGCAAATCGGACTTTGTATGTGCA